AAAAACGTCATTGGAAATTTCGAGGGGGGGGGGTGTAGGGTTATAAAAGTGTCCAAACACCATTCATGACATTTAGATCGGTATATAAAAATAGTAAATCGGGCACATGTACACAGCAAAATAAACAATAAAGATGGGTATTAAGTAGGTACTACAGACTAGGCACAATCTGCAAGTCTGTCATAGAAGCATGTGATGTTATTTAGTCAGTGTTTAAAATTATATGGTATAAACAAATACTCGTTTCATATGTGCCTAAGTTCCTAACATGTTAATTGATAAATAATTTTCGAATGCATGTCGAAATGCACGCACCTTATTTAGCTTATTATATTAATTCCCTTCTATATATTGCACTTGGTTTTTAAATAATTTAGGAGTATTAATATATTATATAATATAAAAATAAGAGTAATTAATATGGAAAAATTAGAATGGGTGGAGGGTGTGTGTAAAAATGTGAAAATAAAATATTGGTATTAAAGTATAATAGTATTATTGATTTAAGAGGTAGGTATGCATAAATAAATAATAATATACTTTTTAAAGAACAGGGATTTCGTCTTCCTCGTCATCCCTCAGGTTAAGCACTAGATATAATAATAAGGTATATACATAGAGAAAAACTGATGGTCACATAATCAAAGCAGTGGCGTATTTAGGAATTTTTGATGGAGACGATCCAACTAATTTTCGTAAAACATTGAAGTTGGGGGCTACGCTACCTTAGGAGGGAGGGAGCCAAATCCTCAACATCACACTGAAAACTCATTTTGATATTAATAATTATTTATTTTTCGTCATAAATAATTCATAATATAAAACAGTATTTATAATATAAACTCTAATCTTCTAGGACATCTATAATTGATGTATATCACAATGAATGGACATTATTGCTATTTTATAGTCTCTAATATGTAGAGTTATGAATGGTAGGGGGGTTCATAGCACCCCCCCCTGTTAACACCCCAATGAATCAAAAGGCTGTTTCGAAATCAAATGTAACGTCGTAGCTTTATATCATAAACCTATACTATTTGATATACAATAATATTATAAAAGGTTCACGCCTTTTGTAACCACTTGAAATAGATAAATCCGCTAAACACGAGTAAAACCAAAACATAGAACAGCCGTCGAAATATCGCAGCAGTAATCGTCGTTAACAACAACAACAACAGCAGCAACAACAACAACAACAACAACTACAATTATTGCAGTCACCGTTATTAAACTATTATCATATTTGTACTGCACCTATATACAATGTAAAATTTGTATGACGTATAGTTCCAAGTCACCGTCATAACGTCCGCTTTCGTACCGCCGTGATCCAACGAGGCGAGTTAACGACGGAGCCGCCGCGGCGTACTGAAACGGCTTAATTCGAGTTTTCGCCACCCCACGCCACCGCCGCCTCCACCGGCGGTATAACGTGCTACTCCGACCCGCGCGCTACTACTACAGCCCCGCACATCGGATGGGTCGCGTGCATGTGGGTGCAGCATCAGCGGGTCGACCTTGGGCTAGCGGGTGAGCGCGAGGGTGTCGTCCGCGGCGTGCGCGGGTCGCCCGTGGCAACGCGTCGGTAAGATGCGCCGCCGACCGTGTGCTCTCTGCTCCGCACGCAGCAGTACGCGCGACGGCCCGACCGCGGAAAAGCCCATCATCCCGACGATAGTCCGGCCGCGCCGGAAAAGCGCGTTTCCCGATAGTCGCAGTCGGCACAGTACCCACCGCGGTGGCCAACTTTTCCGTCGTCTGGTCGTACGCCGCCGAWCAACGCGACCGCGTAACAATAACAATTAAAATATTAAAACAATATTATATAGTCACCACCGTCGCACTGGACTTTGTGCGTATAATCTTGTCATCGCCGTAGGTGGTCGCACGAGACTGCGGAGCGATAGACGGCAACAATTATAGCACCATAACAATATTGTTATCGGTTTTTGATCGATTTTTCGAATTTTTTCCCGCATCGAAAATCCAATTTCGAAGTTTGACGAAAATATATTTCTCATACGGAGACGAGACCGCGGTGCGGCCGCTCTCATAGTACGTCTGGAGATGAAGGATTCCGATGACTGTTGCGGGACCACAGTTTTCGGCTGTTTTCCGGGAGCGAGGCGCAAAAATAAACAGTCAAAGGCGAAATCGCCGGCGCCGGTACAACAGCACTTGCAGGGGGACAGCCCGGGCGGCTCTGTGCAGGCGTTCTACCGGCAAAACCGTGGAAAGTCGTGCCGGAAAATCATGCGGTTCAACGGATATCCGAACAAAGTAAGTCACCTGTTTTCCACCCGTTTGTGGAATAAGTTATTTTCAATTAAATCATATAATGCATATTAATCGTGTTACACTGCAACGTTCACGTGAAGTAGTCGCATTAACATTTTCGGCTGCACTCTGACCGCGAAAATATGCGACCCTATACGCGTGCGATGGTGACGATAACATTATCATAAATCGAAATTCGATTTTAATTCTTCATCGTCGGAGCAACGATTAACCATTTGCTATGTGTTATTTATCGACCACTCGATACCAATGCTATAACTTATAAATTATAATTTAATAATAATTGTAATGATATAATATATGTATACAATATTAAGTCACAAAATTTCACGATTAAATTATTATGATATCAAAATTACAATGTTTCATACGTCATTTTTTAAACTCAATAAAATAAATTTAAATAATTTCTATTTAAACTTCACCAACACTGTTACGGACCACGCGCATTCCATATCAGATTAAAACTGGTTTTGTAGTTCTATACATTTCATTKTTTWAAATCATTTTTAAGCTTMATTATCACCATAAAAAAGATAAGTTAATTAGACTTGAAAAACGTTGTAAGAAACTATTAGTTAACTAAATCTATAGGAATTTATAAAAAAAATTTCGACTGAGTTTAAGACTACTGCAGTAAGTATTGTAATTTGTAAAAATAGATATTTGAATCTTTTCAACCAGTATTAATTTATTAGGATACCTACTATGTTGCATGTAATCAATGATTCCGAGTGATGATCGATTTACTGAAAAATTAAAATTAACTGTAGATTTACATTTTATAATGGAAACATAAAAAAAACTTTCGAAATGTGTTCAATTTTCCAATAAAGTAAAATTGTTTGAGCTTTTTTTTGGTGTAAAAATCTTAATTTATAGTTCATAACATTTTTTCCGTTCATTTAAATTTATAATTATAGCCATATATTTACTATAAATGTATAGTGTTTTTAACTTGTTTTTTTTTAAGTATGCATTATTTATTATTAAATAGATTTTTACCAAATTAATTTATCATGTCATAGCAGCTTATAATTAATGATTCAAAAAAGTATAAAACATTCTAATCTATTTGAGTCTAAATATCTAATGGTATTAACTTCACATTATACACTTTTGCATTTGAATAATATAAAATATTCTTCCTGATGATATGTAAAAGTTATAATCTTATATTCATGATAGTATGTAGAGTAAAAATAGGTTAACGTTTTTTTTTTAAATTTGAAATATATTTAACATGAGGGTTTACATTGATATTAGTCCCAAGGTTATGGAATCTTATAAAAATAAAAATATGTTTTGAGGTTTTACATGATCCTACTTGAATAGTCATATGAATGTTTGAAAAGTGCCAGGGGCGAACGCAGGGGGGTTTTTGAGGGTTTAAATTATCTGACCTATAAATGTATTACTAATAAAATTTCAAAACAATTTAAATAAGTTATTAGTTATTAAAAAGTTTCCCTTCTCCTAGGGTTTGTAAATTAATGTATACAGTAAAATTACCATTAAAATGTATGATAAATATGACAGTATGTTATAAGTGTTATAACTTATTAATAACTGATCGACATCGGTGTCTGCCAATTCGATGATGTACGTAATGTAGACAAATGATGAGTGTAATTACCGTCTATTGGAAATTCATTGATATAATGGCAAAAAAAACGATACGTATAGATCTTGTTTTATAATTTAAATTGAATTGACAAATTTTAATAATTAATTATTAATCTATGATAAGTAATATGTATATGTATAATGTATATAGTATAAGTGCCTAAAATAAATAGGAAAAGTGTAATACAGTATGAATAATACGATATTTATGAATACCTACTTTAAATTTTTTCAACCCTCCCCCCTCCCCCCGAATTTTTTTCTAGCGTTCGCCCCTGAAAGGTATACATAAAAAATAAATTAATACTTCCGGGTTTCCAACCCATGTMATTTTGTTAATAGTTATGAGTTTATGACTTATGACTTTTAAATATAAATATAGGTACGTATTTTAAGTAGCTTCAAGTAAATCGAGTGCATGAATCCGACGATTTTCAATGAAACTGTTAAAAGCTCATAGTTATTCAAATAATTTTAATTTATTTGTTTATTCTTCAATGATTGTTTGAAGGTTTGTATTTATGCATTAATAGGCATATAACGAACTATTAAAGAATTGCTTTAAAATAATTTTTTGACGTGAATCACGTCTTGCAAATTTAACAACTTTTATTTTTTTGTTAGAAATTCCACAATAGATTTTTTAAAACAAATTGATAAATTAACATTTTATTTTTTCAAGATTAAAAATTGAACTGCCAAACTCACATAATTTTACCCTGTTTATTATTTATTCACTTAAGCATAATTTTCTTCAATAAAGAAAACTCTTGAAGAATATTATTTTGTATTAGGGAGCATGAAAGGAACAAAAATACATGACTTTACTCAATAAAGTATGACTTAAAATATACACTTGAGTGTTAAGGTCATTTAATTTCCCTTTTATTGTAATATCAAAAACTTATATATATATAAATAACAAATACCTATTGTTCCTTAGTAAACTTCATTAATCATTTTAAAAGTTTGCTTAATAAATGAGTATTTATGAATTTAACTAAAAATAAACGTTTTTAAAAAAAATGTATGCAAATTAAAATATGATTTATTTAATACTGTAAAAATATAATATATAATATTAATAGACCATTTTAGATATTACGTACCTATCATATATGACATGTTTGAAAGTATTGAGTAAAGAAAATATTATTATGTCAATATACGTATTATAACACTATAGTAGCTAATAACTATATCATTTTCATGTTATATTATATAATAATATTGTTTTCTTAGACAGCATCCMATACAGTTATCGACTGACGACTATTGTCCTCTTTTATTGTTGTTTGCAGCAAGCTGGAACATGATATTATATAGATTTTTTTTTCTTCTCATATTTAGTATATCGACTACCGAAGGGAATACGGTTTGTCTTAATCAATAATAAACTTAAACAGAGAATCCGAAAATATTTTTAAGCTATTTGAAGAAATTATTTTATTTGATGAAACTYACTAATTAATTGTTTGTTCAAAGATAGATTTTCGAGCGAGACGCTTGGTTGTTTATTGAAAAAAAAAACGTGAAAAGTAAAATAAAAACGATAAAACACATTTCTCGAATAAATATTTAAGCCCTACTTAACCTAAATATTCTATTGTCTAGGCGTTTTTTTAATTCATAACACTGCTGGTATACGCGTCTATACCTCTGTGCTTTTCTGTGATCACATTTGCTGTTACCCTGCGAATAAACAGTATAGTTTTATTATCATTCTGCAGCTCGTTCTGCGGCGATAACAATAAAAATATACTGCCTATATAGTATGTATATATATATTTATAATATATCATCTAATGCACACATGATAATAATAATAATAACAATAAAAATACTATTTTCTACTGAGGTGTACGATTGTGCGTCTTGTCTCGACCACCAACTCGGTCACCACGGCGCCTGAAAAAGGAATATCAATTTTTTGAAAGTGTAGTAAAATTTTCTGGAATATATTATACATTTATTATGTATATGGGGTGAACGCATGACTTTACAGTTGCTGCAGTGCTGCATCGTAGGGGCACAAACGAAAAGCCATTTCTTAGCCACCGTTTCCCTATACGCTGTCACATACGTGACAACCCTTTTTTGTTTTTACTTTCAGCACACTGAAATTGGATATATGATATCCAACATGTAGCGCATTGTCTCTGCTGCAGTGTATATTTTATTGTTTCGTGCACAGTAATAGGTCCGATACCCTCCAAAATTGCTACACACACGCTCACACAACATACACCCCGGAAGGCATGACGAACTAGATGTAAAAAACAAAACGTGTTAGAAAAAGACAAAAAAATAACACCCTCGATAGGCCTTAGGGGTCGATAGTCCGTTCCCCTATCTACCGACCATCGCGATATCGCGCGATATCGTCGTCGTTATCCATGGCACATATTTATGCACTGTGGGTAGGATTTTGTTTAAAAGATCCGCCGAGAGGAGAATGTTACATAAATTTCAGCGACCCCATATATATATATATATATATATTTACTTTTAGGTATGCTTATTAATGGTATATACATGGTATATGGGGATGACGCATTACCGCACGTATAGAGTATAGTGTCGTTCATTATACACTCTGCAGCAATGTTAAATTAGATTTGCATAACATTTCCTATGATCCGAAATTGTTATAGAGTACCGGAAAAAAAATTACCCCATCTCATCATCTACTACAAGGTAATTTAATGATCGTTTGTAAAATTTAAGTGGATGATATTTTAGATTTTCGATGAAGTACCTATATAAAATCGTAGTTATATGCAAGGAATGTTTTTGTTTYACAATGTTGTACATTTTTAGATTTCGAACGTAATGAGGAATGTATTATCAGTATAACAAAGGTATACTTGTTTTCTTTTAGRGTTTTCAGTTGGTTAGTTTTGTCTATTATCATTTTTTTGTGCTTCAAAAGTTTCAAGTAGCATTCCGCAGCTTAACGATATTGACAATTTAATATCTTGTAAGCAAATCCTTTGGAGAAGTGATTTTTCTCATTTACACCAACATAGTTTTCAAATACTATAAAATCGCATGTTCTTACTGAAAATATTGCAGTCATAAATTATCAATCATTAACTATCTGAATCTAATTATAATGAAAAAAGTAATAAAATATAATAATCCGAGTATAATAATTAATAACGATTTAGAATATTTAAATATTTAAGTATTTAAAATAATTAAGATTGACTGAATAAATTACTATAAACCTAATATTAAAAATTATTTATTCTACACAAAATATTAAAAAGTATTGCTTGAAAAATATGGGTTTTTAATAAGATAAAATGATAAATCAATAACTTTACTATAGTATTAGGTATTAAAAAGGATTA